ATTGACATATTGATTTTAAAAATGTTTTGCTTTTAATGGTGCACCATTGTTAGCTGAGGCTCGATAGGGCTGGAACCAAGAAGCACACTTAGGATTAGACCTTTAGGCTTGTCAATAGACATGCAGTGACTAAACAAGTCCTGGCAAAAACATAATTGCTCCAAAAACAAATTCAGAAATCAGATTTAGATTATGGGGGAAACTGGTTTGCAAATGTAAGTTAGGTGTATTATCTCAAAATTGGGACTTTTTGTTTGATTGTTGTGTAACGACAATGTGTCCCTTAGTGATTCTGAGGAGCTAGAAGGGATACTTCTGGGTTCATTATTGATTCATTTTGCGATTTGTTTTTCTGTTAAATGAGTTCTGTTAAATATTGGGAGGAAAACTTGACCTTGGCCTTGGAAAGTTTCACAAAACATTCCAAACATCAGATCCCTTACTAGCTTTTTTTTAGAGCCTTCAACTTTATCACTAGGGTTTAAATATATAGTCCAACATTTTAGGAAGTACACTTATTTGCGTTCTTGCTGATAGTTAGATGAGTAGATCGATACCACTCTCACGTCTGTAGATGAAAATTTAAGCTAGAGCCAGGAGACGGCTATCTTCCCTTAGCATAATGACTTGAAACAGGGGGAAACAGCTAGGCTGCCTGCATCCCCCTATCAGCAGCTCTAAAGCTCATTTATTAACATGTATCATTTTTTAAATTTGTCCAAAAGCTGATGTGTAAATATGAAAAGTACTGGTTGTATAGGATAGGGGGTCAGGTACCAGACTGTTCCTTGTCACTCCCTCTCTTATCCTCACTGTGAGTGGAGACTCTGCTAAGCTAACTGGCGACTGGTGGTAGCTTGACACAGCACACACGAGAGTGGTATTGATCCTTTCATCTAACTAAAGAAACAAAGGGTATTTCCCAAAAAGTTAAAATACTCTTTTAAATCTTAAGTAAACACAATGTGTCTTGGATACAATCCATCTCCATAACAGCTGAGTAAGCTCTATCTGCTGACGAAGACCATTTGATAGCATTTAAAGATCTGCAAAAAAGGGTAGTAAGTGGACTCAGTCAGAATTGTTTTGTGAAAGTTAAATAAATAGTAAAAGAGACCAAAGTTGCCAGAAAATGTGGGATGTTTTTCCTCAATAAATCACCTTAACAATTAACTGATTTTCGAAATTGTTGCAGATAAAATATTTCTGCTGATCGATTTTTGTTATAAATTTATCCTCTAATCTGCTAGATCTGCTATCATTTATAATAATGTTACTGAATAGAGTGCTGTTTCACTTGTGGAGTAGAGTGAATGTTCAACACAGTTCGCACTGTAATTTTCAGCCTTTGTTACTTCTTATGGAACCTATATTCATTGCAGCATAATAATAGGAACAATCTGACTCTAAGCGTTCATGAATGGGGTTTCAAATGGAGAAAGCCATTTACTCTAATTGAATGGCGTCTTTTAAAGTCAGTGTTATCAGGGTGCACAGTGCAAACAGAACCGGTGTGGTGCCAGGGTCACAGCGTGGAGAGAGAGAGAGACACCGTACAGATTACAGCTGCTTTAAATCGCTTTGGTATGCACAGACACTTGGATGGAGAGTGTACTTACAGTCCGATGCACACAAACACACACACACACACACAAAAACACGGGGGGGAAAAAACACATGCACACGCTAAGCCAAATGTGGACATGCCAAACAGAGATGAACACAAATCAAAACAAAGCATGCAAACACAAAAGAGATCCAGAGAATGAAGAAGACAGAGAGAATAGCACAGTCCCATCTGTCAAACAAATGCGAGGATGCTTCTCACACACACACACACACACGCGCACACACACATAAACACATTCACACACACACAGCAGACATCATTTAGTCTGAACTTGAGCGATATCTGCCTTTGTCCTTTAGCAGTTGGTCCTGAGGGGCCGCTGTAGAAGTTGCATGAAAGTTTGTTTAGAGCTGAGCAAGTGTGTTAAGCTTTATGAGAGCCCATGGGAGACATGGTGGCATACACACACACACACACACACACACACGTGCATCTACTCATACACACACTCAGGCACGAGGCTTGGGCGGCAGCTCGCGCTGGCCCCAACCAAGTGAGGAGTTTGTTGTCATAGCAACAGTAAAATGAGATGACTTTACTGTCAGCCGTAATGTTTCATGGCCCCCTTGCCGCTATGGCAACATAACAAGGAGGAGGAAGAGGAGATGGAGAGAAAGAGAGCATCAGAGCCATCTCTGCATTCCAGTGGACTCCTACAAGGAACAGTGTCACTACGACGCCCTCACTTCCTTCCTAAGACAAACACACATACACTGTGACAAGCCTGTCAAACACATGCATGAGTACACACACACACACACACACACACACGGAAAAGCCTGTCAAACACCCTTTCCATCTCGCCCATCCCTTTGATTATGAGCTGACTATTTTCAGCTACGGTCTTATCGTCACCGGAGCAATTTGAATTCATTACGCTCAATGTCAATATTGGTGCAACAACGCTGTACATCAGACAGGTACAGCTTGTTGAATGAGTGTGCGTGCTGTCAGAAAGTGTGAGAAGTGAAAAGAGGGGAGAAGTGGAGAGAGAGGAGATCAAAGACATCCAGCTCCGCCGTGCGTTTCCAAGAGGTGGAGAGAGTCAGATGGAGCAGCGGGGTGACTGTAGGCTGGCCGACAATACGCGGCGCAACAGCACAGCAGCTATACATCACAATTCTATATTTAGCTGCGTCCTTCCACTACAGCCTATCAACACTGTTAAACAGAGTTATCGGCGCTGGTAGAAAAGTGGGAAAAACAGAAGGGGGGGTGGGGCGGGTAGGTGGAAGAGCGACAGACACAGGGAAGAGAAAAAAAGAGACAAGCGTCAGAACGAGAGAGGAGCTGAGTTGTTTTGCTCTGTTGCCATGGTGACTCGACGGCCGGAGTTGTAGTGAACTGACAGTTGTCACGGCACAGTGGGTTGCCATGGGTGACAGCTGTCAGTCAATCACGCAGAGTGAGGGGACAGATCGGCTGATGATCACCTTGGATTAGAGAGGGATCGCACCACACAGGGGCCAGCCAGAACATATCTGGACTTAATCCCCATGTCCTAATAGTGTGTGTGTGTGTGCGCGCGTGCGTGTGTGTGTGTATTCATCAATGTTTGCATGTGTGCCCTTTTTTTTAACCCGTTTGTTGATGCTGTGCGAGTGGACAGGAATTTGTGTGCATGCAAATTTAGGTTAGTGTTTTCACGTGTGTGTGTGTGTGTGTGTGTGTGTGTGTGTGAGTTAGCACATGTGCATCCTAGCGTGTGTTTGTGTTCCAGACTCTGAAACGTGTTCACAGGGTGAGTGGAGCAGATTACATTTAGCTATAGCTACTGCTGCCTGGGTCCTTCCCGCAGCTGTCTGAGCTAGAGGACAATCAAAGGCCTGGTTGTTAGCCTTCTGATTGTGGTGTGATGCTCAGCCCCAGTCCCCTTCAATTAGCACACTCTGGCTGCGTCTAACAAGCACAACATTGCTTTTATGTTGGGAGAATAATGGTCTGATTAGAATAGGGATGGATTTTAACTCACACTTATGTTTGTTTCTCTCTGTTCTTTGCAAATCCCCCGACCCTGATCATCTCTTCTCACAGATCTCCAGATGTGGAAGTAACTCTCACCAATGGACACTATTTGTAATGTTGTAAATCAGCAGTTAGTTTATTCTGTTTATTCTGCGCCCATTCGGCGCTCCAACCTGAACAATTACATTTTCTCCTCCTGTAGAGATGTTAAAAGTATTTAAATATTAAACAACATATTAAACAAAATCCACTTTTTCATGTCTTTTCAACCTATGTGTCTGTCCCCGGTGTGTCTCCCAAACTATGAGAAAAAAAACATCCTCTCTTTTTTTCTCCTGCTCAGTCTTTCAGAAAATGTGTGTGCAAGCACGCCGTTTGAATATGCCTCCCTTCTTGATGTCATGAATGGACCTGCGTAGCATAGGACCTCCTCCAGCCCTTCAGCGCAGTAGACAAACCTTCCCACTGAACACACCACTCAACCCAGCCCAACGTCCAAAACAACACCAATCGATTATTCCATCGAGCTAAAGCTGAAGGTTGTTCAGTATGTCTCACAGAAAGTGCTTTTACGGTTATGAAGGAAATGTAAATAGTTTCTGGTTTTCCCTCTGATGTCAGGCTGCTCTGCCTCAACTCTCTCTGTGATTTACAGTTGTTTCCTGATGAAAAAATGCAGTAACAGCTAGCTGCTGCTAACTGTAGATGTTGTCAGGTGGCTCTGCCTGACACAGAGGTCCAAAGCTTCTGTAGTAATGTTAGAGGAGTAAACTAGCAGCAGCTTCTGTTAGCAGTAGTTACTAACTGGTGACTAACAAACTCTGTAAATCACCGAAAGTTAAGGAGAGCAGCCGGTGGACATCAGGGTGAAAACCGGAAAATAATTTCTCCATAAAATATGATCCAGTTTCACCAAAACCAGTGAATAAAGTTATAAAGCTGTGTTTTTCAACTAATAGACCTTTAACACTGTTCATATGTTATGACAGCAACCCCGTGTAATGTCAATACTTTGCTGGTACTCTAGTAATTAGAGGGTCGTTGTACAAGGCAAGATTTCCTCAACCAATGAAGCACTAAATTTGCCATCCCAGTCAGAATTGGATAGAAAGCCCCAGAGAAAAATGATGATGTATACTTTTCCCCTCTGATCTAACAGCCTAATTGGGAATGTGGTCAAAATCTTGTTGCGTGTCTCCACCCTTTGGCCTTTAACAAAAATTAAGGCTTTGTGTGAGAAGCCAACTGAATTTCACAAGCTGACCTCGTTTCTTTTTTCTCCTTCTCCTTTTTCTCTTTCGCTGCTCCTCCTTTTCTCCACCCCTGCGCTCTCTTTTCCTCCCTCCTTCTCCTCTGCCCCGTCTTGCCCTCCCCTTTCTCCTGTCTCTGCCGTCTCCCTCTCCAGGAGCGAGCCCTGGGCTGGATGGGACCCACCATGCCCCCCAGTAAGAAGGCCCAGAGCCCCAGTAGTGGAGCCAGTGCCTCGCAGGGTATGAGCCCGCCGTACCGGCAGGGGGACGCTGCCACAGCTGCATCCGAGGCCGAGGCAGCTGACCTATCCCTTTCCCTGTCCGCCTCCTTCTCCAAGGCCGAGGACGAGGAGCTCACCAGCCTCTCCTGGCTCCATGAAAGCACTGACCTCCTCAACAGCTTCAGCCACTCGGGGCTGCGTAGCGTCTCCCCCCTCCAGGACCCAGACGGTCAGCACCCACGCTCACCCTCCTCCTCGTCTCCCTCCCTGGATGACCCCCTGCTCGGCGATGCACACTCCGCGTACGACTTGGCAGCAGGGGCCAACCGAAAACCGCCATACTCCTTCAGCTGCCTGATCTTCATGGCCATTGAGGATGCGCCAAATAAGCGGCTGCCTGTCAAGGATATCTATGGCTGGATCCTGGAGCACTTCCCTTACTTTGCAAGCGCCCCCACAGGCTGGAAGAACTCAGTGCGCCACAATCTGTCGCTCAACAAGTGCTTCAAGAAGGTGGATAAAGACCGGAGCCAGGTAAAGGCGTCAGTTGCGTAAAAAATTTTTCAAAATATTTACCTTCTCTCAAGCCAAGGGAGGGGTTTTGATCATCAATACTTTTTATTACCAAACAATGTTGTTGTGAAAGTTGCAATGAGAGTCATTTCAGTTCATTTATTATTCATTGATCGTATTTCCTGACCTAATCAGCAGTTAGCAGCGGTATTGTTAAAATGTAATGAAAATATTTTTTTAAAAACTACTGATACATACTCATTTCATCAAGTTTTATATTGAAAAACACAAATAACATTTGCAGCACTGTGCACTTTTTTTTGTAGGAACATTAAAATAATTCCGAAGTCCCCAAATCATGCAAAGAGCTAAAAGTGAACTTACCTAGCATTTGCTATAAATTAGTGGATGGCAGTCACAAACTGCCCTCTTTCACAGCATTTTCTTCGATCACGTGTCCCTCAGCACTGTTACGAGCACACTCTAGACTGTCACTGCCTTCCACCATGTTCTCATTGACCCAGAACAAACCCCCATTTCATGCTGCACCTGCGTCTGGGAGACTGACTGCTAACTTGGTTGATGCAGTATATACAAGAGGGGTTTACAAAGCGCGCTAATCGAACACGGTTTTAATGGTAACTCAAATTTGAAAAAGTAATACTGTATTGGTCCGAATATAAGACAGTTTTTTTCGTCTTGTTTTTGGGGTCAAGCACTTTAAATGCTAATATACACCCACAACAACAGATGGCGCCAAATATCGGCAAAGCGCATGTTGCCCTCCCGACTGAAGCATGTCACGATATCACTGAAACATGGAGTGAAACAGCGATCGTGTCGAACAAAGTGGCTCAAAAGTAACCAAGTTAACCAACAGCTGAGGAGGAGTTATGATGCCAATTTTAAGATGGTGTTTTTTTCACTGAGATGGACAGCCTTATTGGTATTAGAAATACCAGTAGTATATAACAGTTTTTGTCTCCATTTTTATAATATTAACTGTAAATATCACAAGCCAATGCATTTTATTTCGTGGTAATTTAATTGTGACCATTGTTATTGAAAATGTTATTTTATTTAAAAACAACAACCTACCTTATATGTGTTTTTATTAGAATTATTTTGAAATAAAATTATCGTCTTTATTATTGTCTTAAATTGGTCTTAAAAAAGTATCTTTCCAAAAATGAGTCTTGAAAAGGACTAAACTTCGGGAATTTTATCGAAGTTGACTTCTGGGTAAAATATGGCACAGTTGCACAATAAGGACATAGTAAAACAAAGGGTGTACTCATCCATATGATTCTATAATTTCAAAAAAATTCTAATTGTTTTCATCCCCATAGAAAATACTAATACTAATTGGCCAATTAGTTTGTCCTAGATAATCCTTCCTCGCACACTCAGGTAAAGAACATTTCAAATGAAGCCCAGCCTCTATTCCAACCAGTGCAGGGATTTTTTATCACTTTTCATCGTCCTATTCTGAATGCTTACATGTAATAACACTGCAGCTACACGGTAAATACGCAGCCCATTATTCGCTCAATCGTGTGTGGTTATAACTTATTTCACAGCCAGACAGTTATCAGAGGTTTGCAGGCATATCCAACTTGAAGTCAAACATATTCTGTATTTTGTCTACAGCTGTACCAGATTCGGCCTTATCAATAGTTGATGATCTCTGCTTTCATAGTTCTCTTTCACTCAGACGTTCTGCACTTCCCCAGTGGGAACACCATTTCGCTTTTGATTTAAGTCTTGATACAGTCTTTTATACTGGCTTTCTTATCCAGATTTTACTCCATTAAAGACTTGGGGTAAACGGGGAATGAATCCCTCACTCAATTAGTGCTAAATTAATACTGGAGGATTTAATAACACAGATGCCAGCAGACTTTAGATTTCATCTTGCCCGAGGGTGTTGGGGGTGCGGGACAAACAGCGAGGATCAATGCAAGCTTTGCATGTTTGCTGATTGAGATTATACTGGAGGATATGGGAGCTCTTTATGCTTTCCTTGACCAGCGTGTGAACCTGAACCCTTCCTTTTGAGTGAGCTGTGTGTGTGTGTGTGTGTGTGTGTGTGTGTGTGTGTGTGTGTGTGTGTGTGTGTGTGTCTGTGCACACACCCTCACGCTATGCTGTCATCTGGCCCTTGACTACAACGGCACAGAGTTTCTCTTGTATACATATCTCCATAGTAACTAGGTTGCAGTTGACATAAAAGTATGCTGTTGCTGTAGCAACGGAAAAACTGATTTGGCTTTACTGACTTAGGCGTGTGTGTGTGTGTTTGTGAAAATATGTGCATGTGTGTAAGAGCTTAAGATGGGCACTGAGGTGCTGAGTTGTGGAGAATGAGTATATGTCCTCATCTTGTGTTATCTGCACATATGTACTCTGTGTGCGTGTGTGTATGTGTGCGCGTGTGTGTGTGTGTGCACGTGTGTGTGTGTGTGTGTGTGTGCGTGCATGTGGAGCAGCATGTGTAGAGGTGATTTTGGCAAGGACAGCCTGTCTTGTCTTCCTGTCACTGCACACCGTTTAAGACAGCACGCTAATTAACCCTTCAAACCCATTCCCCTCTCTCGCACATATACACGCGCACTTGCAAACACACGCAGGGCATGTCTGACACACAAACAAATAAGTGTACACATATACACACACTTGCAAGCACGCATGAATGCTTAAAAGTGCTCACACACATGCGCGCGTGAGCACTGTGTCGGTGTGGAAATGAGGGCACATCTCTGCAGACTCCTACTCTACCTGCCAAGTGCCGTGCTTTATCTGAAGCTGCAATTACAGAATCTCTGTAATTTCAGTCAGACTTCGCCATTCAAAGCTTTTCACTGAGAATATCTGCATGTGAATACTCCTTTTTTCTCCCTGCTTTGCCTTCTCCTACACCTGTTTGTCTCTCCAAACTGAGCATGCAATTACAGGTTCTAAGATATTTTCTTATGTTTTCCTCATTTCTCACCGTGGAAAATAAGAAAAGGATTTGGTTAAGGGGAGGTCAAGTCATCGTTATGAGGGATGGATAGAGAGACACACACACACAGGGAGAAAGGAGGAGACGTGGCTTACTGTGAACGCACCAAATCATATTTCCATCAATTTACAGAGGTGGAGATTAATATGACAGTGGCCTATTTGTTCCAGTGACTGTATTTCTGGGTCATATCCAGGCAGATGACAAGATGGGGACTAGTTTAGATAAGCTTGCTGCTCTGTATGTGAGTGTGTGCATGTCTGTGTGTGTGTGTGTGTGTGTGTGTGTGTGTGTGTGTGTGTGTGTGTGTGTGTGTGTGCGTGTCAGTCTTGCGTGAGATTGCAAACTTGTGAGAGAGAGAGAGAGAGAGAATCCCATGGTTGCCATGGCTTTGTTTACAAACAGGATTCTTCACTGTGCTGAATGACATGCCTTAATGACAAGTGTTGTTGCCCTCAGACTTCTGGATCAGTGCTGAAGATCAGTGTTGTAACAGCACAACACAAACACACACACGACCAGTGATATATTTCAAAGCCTCTTATGAAATCACACCAGAGACAACAGGCAGTTTTGTAATCTAACACTCACTATGAATTCTCTTGGTGTTGCACCTAAGTGTGTCGCCTCTAACTTAACTTGCCCTATTCAGAAGAGAGGCGTCCTTGATTCTTCTACATTTTAACTCTGAGCTTTGTACTGTAGCAGGAGAGAGCTGATTTGTCTGCTTAAGGTGTTTGTTTTTTTGACATTAATTTATCAGCAGGTCGCTGCCACTGATTTTCTCTCGAATCACAGACACATTAATGATATACAGGGTGTATTGTTTGAAAGACTGCACGTGGAAGAACACTTGCATGCAATTAACTACTTTACTAAACAGTACATTACTTTAAACTAAACAGGGAATGAAGGTGAACAAGAAAGTAGACTTATGCTGGTGAGCTTTATGATAGATGTAACTTTAAAGCTGCACTCATCAATATATTCACAATAAAAAAGTGTCAGTTTACCATATGCAGTATGGAAGGGCTCACTCAAAGTGACAAACCGACAGCGTAACCACCAGATTGGTGGTGGTGATGGTGCAATAGATAAGATTATGCCTTTGGTGTGAGAGACCCAGGTTCAATCCCCCACTGTGACCCATCCACCATTGTGTCCCTGAGCAAGACACTTAACCCCTATTTGCTCCAGAGGTGTGCGACCTCTGACATGTATAGCAATTGTAAGTTGCTTTGGGTAAAAGCATCAGCTAAAATTAATAAATGTAATGTTTCAGCTCATTGTTTTGTTTTTACGGTCTGCAAAATTACAGTTTTGGGTCACTCTCGCCTCTCCTTAACCCCATTATCAGCCACAAAAGGGAGATTTTTTTAAGGAGAAAATGCTACTGTACGCCACCTGTCCAGCACCAAACAGCAGACAGAAAGAGTTAGCAACTAGCATGTAAACATAGTGGAGCATTTAGAAGCCGATGAACCAGATATTTGGGAGTTGGTGGCGACCAAAACAGACCTTAAAGGAGAGAAACATGACCCCAAATATAATCTACTGTTGCATCGTGTCTGCTGGATGGATGTGTAAACAGCCAGTTGTTTGCTAACATGTTAGCCATATCTTTATAAGGTGATGGTAATTCCAAGTTAATACAGTTAATACTTCTTTAATAAGCTATAAAAAGGTATGCTACTGGCTTTGTTTTTGTAAAAGTTTTTATTATCTTGTTTAAAAAGTGTGCAACATATTTGTTCCTGTCACTGTGAGTCATGACTATGAGGAAAAGTCACATACCGTTTGTTTTAATGTTGCCTAAGGGAAGCAATTTAAACATCTGTAAGACTGGTTCTTGGTACTGCCCTTGGAGAACTTTCATGGATGTGAAAATTATGCCACCGTGACAAGCTGTGGAAGAGCCAAAATCCAAATGACCTCATTGACATTATTTGCTAAATGACAAGATATCATAGCTGCTTTGGAAATTGCTTACATTGGACCAGGCCCAGTCTGTGTCTCT